TCTCTCTCTCTCTCTCACACACACACACACACACACACACACACACACACACACACACACACACACACACACACACACACACACACACACATGGACGGCACAATGCAGACGCTTTTCCTTAATTTCTTTTTCCGTTTTTTTCTATTTTTACTTTGTTTTTTGTTTGTTTTACTTTTGATTTTGTTCACATTTATTGTTTACACATTCAATGTTTGCGAAGTACCAGTACGTATAGGCTCGTCACGGTAGCTGAAGGCTAGGCCTACCGGTAGTTCTGGGTCGGGCCTTGACAACCGGTAGGTACTGGTGGTTTAAGATTCCATTTTATATATACCGTCAAACAGAATCCTCAAATAGAAAAATATATATACATAGCCCTCCAATTGTTGTCCTCTTCTCCCTCTCTGCCTACGGTTTACCAGGCAGTTCTGTTTGACGATATATATCATCAAACAGAGCGGCCCGGTAAACCGTAGGCAGAGAGTGTTACATGCTGACCCTGCACACGGGCCCCATTTTGAGGGCCCGATGGTTGCTGGGGGCCCCCAGGCCGCACGCCCCTCAGACACACGCCCTGGAGGCCCACGGCCACCCTTAGGGCTGCAGGTTTGAACTTGAGGCAGCATTCATTTATTTATTTATTTATTTGCTGTCCTATTTTTGTCTGTTCGGGCGTTGGTTCAGACTTGCAGTTAGTCCGAATAGACTTTTGGTCTGTACGGACAAGGCCACATTTTTGGCCTTGTACGGATGTAGGCAGGCCCTGTTGGGCCAGGTCCGTTGTTGTCCAGTTGCGGACACTCCCTGCTGCATCAGGAGGGAGGGGCTGGACGTCCGGTAGGGACCCAGGCAGGCCACGTTTTGCCACAGGCACACAGAGGCACATCCGCGAGGCCCAGCGCTACTTCTAGCTGGGTCACGCCTGGGCAGACACACAGTTTGAGTAGCTCACTTGTTGGGCAACACGCTGCTGAAGCAGCACGGCAGCGCTACGCTACAGGTAGAGGTGTAGGTAGGGAGTGAGGTGGAGGCCATACCTGCGCCGTCGGAGATCTCACCTGGGTGCCATAGCTGGTCTTCGCGCCAGCACCCTGCAGCACAGAGGAGACAAGCGGCAACAGTTAGTACATGGCGGCAGTTACCTGCAGGTGAGATAGCGAGGAGGACGGCATCTTCTTCTTCTTCTTGCTCTCGCCCTACATCTCTCCTTCTTCCTCCTTTCCTCTCCTTCTTCTTCTTCTTCCTCTTCTTCTTCTTCTTCTTCTTCTTCTTCTTCTTCTTCTTCTTTCAGAGAGATAGAGAGGTTACAGGCAGAGGTTACATCGGGCCGTGAGGACCAGGATCTGATTCGACATTTTGTGGCAGACATTGATTGGACATTCAGCAGGGAGACTATTTTTGGACTCCGCTATCACGATCTTGGTCTTCTCCCTCATCTCCATCTTCATCTTGCCTCTTCCCCCCCATCTCCTCATCCGTGGTATCTCCCCATGTGCATGATCAAGCAGGGACCTTTCATCTATGTATGCCCTCCTCTCTCTCACACATGTGTGGTGTATGATGGGGTGTCGCGTCGGTATCTGAAAGGTCAGGTCATATCTTTGAGTATTCCACTGTGCTACATTGTGCTATTTCCATATGTATCTGGATGTACATTGCTTGTTGATGCTTTGCTGACACTGCATTGTCCATTCGAGTCCTTTTCATCACTTTGAGGATCCTTGGCTCCCCATACATCGATGAACTGAGCATGTATCAGAGAGGGAGAAGAGGACAGCAAACGAGGGGCTGTGACAAATTGTTCATCGGAGTTTCACCGACTCATATATACCATCCAACAGAGCTGCCCGGTAAGCCGTAGGCAGAGAGGGAGAAGAGGACAACAACAAGGGGCTGTGACGAACTGTTTCGTCGGAGTTTCACCAACTCATCAGGAGGCTGAACCCTTAAAATTTATCGTACAAGCCTCCTCCCAGCCTGAAACTGGCCTCAGAGCTGGTTGGAACCACCACTAGTTCCATAGTGTCTGCAGCACTCTCCACCCACCTCCCTATTGTGGGTCTACTGCGACGGTGCCCTGGTTCGAAGAACAGAAGAGAAACAAAAAAGGCGACAGTTCTCACTGGACGCCAATTGGGGTACTAGAGCAGTGGAAGCAGAGAGATTTCTAGGGGTCCTGATTGCACTCAAAAACTGTTCTTTATCTCAAGTAGTAGTTCTGCAGGAGAAGGTATTGAAGAGAATCAAGAGCTGGGGCCCAGCATGTCACATGTCCTTCATAGGCACAGCACTGGCACTGAATTGCTCAGCCTTTGCATTGCTATGGTACGTGGCAATGGTAAGAGAGCTTCTTCAGGAAATCATTAAGGGCATTAAAAAAGCAGCAGCGAGAAGATTCGTGTGGAAACCACAGCCTGGTCAAAAGGAAGGCTCATTACAAAAGTTGCCTGGCACACAATCTGTGCCCCAAGAGAAGAGGGAGAACAGGCCCTGACAGATCCTCACTCACAGAACAATATCCTCTTGTGCAGATAAGAGTGAAAGTGGCGGAAGCAGATGCAGACACAGACTGGTGTGTCCTTGCAGAACGAATCCTTGAGAAGAAATGGGGTCTCAGTAGAGCCTCGAACATATGGGTAGCCATGACGGTGGAAGGCTTTCTGGGAAAGAGGTTGAAATTCAGGTTTTGGAAGGAGGTGATAAACCATCGCGGAAACTGAAGCCCTTGGGCCATATAACACCCGCAAGCAAGCAGGAAGTCATGGCGCCGCCACATCTTTGGGAACAAGGTCATCCTGGACCCTCAAGCTCACTTGTTCTCAGCAGCCAGAGGGGCAGGGAATTCCGGCTACAAATGGATGCAACGGGGTGCGTCCAGAATTGGGGACCTATGGGACAAGACAGTTAATCAATGGAGAGGAGAAATGTACTTGAAAAGTACACTAGCACAACTCCTCATGCAGAGGGAAAGAGCAGAAGCAATCATAACAGCTCTTTATGCTGTGTGGAAGCACCTCCTCGGACCAGACAGATACCCCCCTCAGCAACTAAGTCACAGAACCATATGAACAATAGGTTCTATAGGCTGCTGAGTTGGAATGAGGAAAAAACAGGTAATGCGCCTCAGAAGTGTTTGAAAGAGGGAAAGCGAACTCCAACAGCTTGCTAAGTCGAGGCTCACTGGAACACTATGCCTAACTGGCTTACAGGAGGTGATAAACCATCGCGGAAACTGAAGCCCTTGGGCCTAACACCCGCAAGCAAGCAGGAAGTCATGGCGCCGCCACATCTTTGGGAACAAGGTCATCCTGGACCCTCAAGGTCACTTGTTCTCAGCAGCCAGAGGGGCAGGGAATTCCGGCTACCAATGGATGCAACGGGGTGCGTCCAGAATTGGGGACCTATGGGACAAGACAGTTAATCAATGGAGAGGAGAAATGGACTTGAAAAGTACACTAGGACAACTCCCCATGCAGAGGGGGGGAGAGTGGGGGAGAGTAGGGCAAGTACGGAAGGATAGTATCACAAAAAGAAAACACCGCCCATCGGACACTAGCCGGAGGTACAGAAGGCAGAAGCTTAGAGTAGCCCCAGATGCTTGGGGTTGGAGGGTAGATCAACAAGTTGTTGTAGGGTTGGGGCAGTTGGGGAGAACGATAGCTGTGCATGCCACTGGTGAAAAATAGAGAGTGTCAGCCAAGATAGCAGAAAGATGGAAGCATTCCGTCTCGAATATTCCCCCCCCTGAGAGAGATGAGCTAAGCGATCTGTGGAAACAATTACATAAGATCCCCTCTCAACGGTTAGCCTCACCGTTATGGCTCCAGTCCCATTTGGTCGTCCCAACAGCAATGTGGCTTAGAGCAAGGGGAATGCAGAGGGTACAGGTGCGGTTGGCTTTTTTAGGATATGAGACATCTCCAGTGGTCCTGCCCAAAGTCCGAGAGGCAGTGGAAGTGGAAGTGGTGGGAATACCACTGGAAGGAAATCACTTGAAGAAACTATCCGTCTGATGAGAGATGGGTTCATACAGGTTTCCTCCCTGAATGTTTGAATTTTTCACCGAAACTGCCATATTTTTCTAAATTTTTACTTTTTTCTCGGTTTTTCTTTTTGCCTGTTATATATGTGCTTTAGGGTATATCTCCATTCAGTTTCGCCGTATTTGGAGAAGTAAAAAAAACCTTAACAAAAACAGCAGACTCAAAAAAACTTTGGCGAACTTCGAAAGCTACTCCGAAAAGGGTTTTATAGTACTCTTGATTTTGATTTTTTCGTTTTTTTTTTTTTTATCTGATTGGTTTTTTGATGTTTGTATTATGACCCTGCATAGTTCGTTCGCAAAAGTTTCGACAACATTGCTTGTAGCGACGCGGCGAAAAACCCCGAATTTTTAGCCTTCCATTAACCATTAGTGACGGACTGTGGGCAAAGGAAGACTGGTTGAAGGGCTGCAATACGCGGCGCTTAACGAGCGGCGACAATGATGGCCAAACGGGCCACTTGGGGAGTGCCCAAATTCATCCGACTAGAAATGCTTCTTCTGTATTTTTTCCCGCAGCCGATGTATGGGGCGAGTACTCAGGCAAGCGACCAGAAACTTGCCACAGTTTATCAAAGGAAAACTAACACTTTCACGATGGCTATGGTGACCACGGTAGTTCCTGTGCTTTTATTTTAACAACCTACCGGCTGCATACCCGTGAGAGTCTATTTGTCAATCGGAGCGCCCAAACTCATCCGACTAGAAATGCTTCCACTGTATTTTTCCCCGCAGACGATGTATGGCCCAAGTACTCGGGCAAGCGACCAGGAACTTTCCACAGCTCATCAAAGGAAAACTAACACGTTCACGATGGCTATGGTCAACACGGTAGTTCCACGGCTTTGCATACCCTTGAGAGTCAATTTGTCAATCGGTCAACCGCCAGGGTGCAGGGAATGCAGCTTCCTGGTGTTTTGCGTCTAAGAGGTGCAGTAAATTGAAGTTTGTCGGTCAAACATGTGAGAATCATTGAATAACCCTCAAAACCATTGGGGCATGCAGGTTGTTGCCAGCATGCCAGTATTCGGAGAGGGCGTTCCGGGAAGAGAGAGAAGAGTGTTGGGAGGAGAGAGAGATAGAGTGCGTCGGGGTGAGAGAGAGAGAGAGAGTGTCGAGGGGATAGGGAGAGACAGAGAGAGGATGACGACGACATCGATCAAAATATGCATTCGATTTGGCCCGAATATTTTCTTTTTTTTTAACTACACTACATTCTTCTCTCAAATTATTTTGGACTTACACTACCTACCTACCACTACTGCTAAGTAGAGGGGACCCCTGCAAGCATAGCTACCTCGCAATGTGAAGGGATTAATGCATGTTTGCCCGAATATTTGTTCGTAGGCAAATCTATTTTCGTTTATTTATTAATCTTTTTCCTCTGATGCGGGACCCCAATCTGCATTGCCGATTTCTTGGAATTTTCATTGCCGTATATCAGAGACGGTCTGACGAACAACGAACATTGAAAACAACAGCCACCAGTCCCCGCCTTCCACAACCCCCCTCTGGAACCCACATAGCGCAGAGTCAGTGCGAGCGCTCACCGTAAGACCACAACGCTCACCATAAGCTAGACCACCACGCTGACCGCAAGTCCGTGTGCGGGGACACCGACAGGCGCCATAATAAAGATCGGTGGGTGGCTTTCCTGACCCTATCGGAGTAGCGACAAAATGCGTAGCAAAGCGTGGGAGCGTGATGTGATGATGCACTCACCGGTGAAAGAGGGGGGGGGAACAAAAAAAACGAAGAAACAAGCATCGCAGCCGTGCTGTCACATTGCAGGCATCCGCGGCCACAGGGGTTTTGCAGGCGGGGACGTGTTCTTTAGCCCCACTAGGTAGCTGTAGGAACCAGACCAGAGTAGCCAACGCGGATGCCCTGATGGTTATTCTCTTTCTCGGGAAGGTTTGCTGGGTGCAACGGGAGTAACGTCGCAGCTATCCCATTCTCTACAGAAAGATCACAATGGTACTCGTGACGTGGGCAGGGAGAGTGGCAGTGCGAGCGCGTTTGGTTTTTCTTCCCCCCTCCTCTTTTGCA